TGCTTCTTTCAAAGAGATAGAAAAGGCAATAGGATAGTTTATTTGGAAAGGAAAGACCCTAAATAAGCAAAACACTTCTGAGAAGCAAAAATAGATTAAGAATACACAGCCCTGGAACAGGTAAAGGAAAGAACTGTTTAAAAAGGAATATATGATTAGGCATTACATAGATGACAACAGCTCAGAATAAGAAGTATATTGCAAAGAGGACTCGTGGGCGGGAGGTAATTGTGCAACAGTGAATGAATATTTTTTTAAAAAGTGAGGGGGGATGTGTAACAACGAATGAATGAAAAGCCATTAATTTCTGTTAAAATCTCAATTAAAAATTTATTTAAAAAAAAACTATAAAAATTCCATATGACCCAGCTAATTCCACTGTAAGGAGTATACCCTGAGGAAAACAGAACTGATACACGATGGAGATTTGCACTCGGACAGCAATAGCATTATTCATAATAACACAAATATGGAAACAGCCCAAATGTTCAAACAAATGACTGGATTGAGAAATTGTGGTACAGTCACACAATGAAATACTATGCAGCACCCAGGAGCAATGATTTAGAAAAATATAAAACGAGAGAACCTAGAGAGCATTTTGCTGTGTGAACTCACTCAGGTCCATAAGGACAAATAACTGCATAAAACCATTACTGTAAAAACAGAACGGTAACTAGTGAGATGTTTATGGATATCCAGAGAAGGAACAAGAGGGACAGGGCAGCAGAGGAGGTGTGATTCATGGGATCACAGAGTTTGATGGGTGGAGGGAGGGGGTGAAGGAATTAGGAAAGATCCAGTGGGGATCTGAAAAGATGAGGCAATAGTTTGCATAGATCAATGATTCATTTTATAAGACACAATGTGAGTAGGAAAAAAACCTGAAAAATAAAACCCTCCAACACTATCACCCCCAAAAAGTATTATTTCAGGATAAAGCACATTCCTGTGTGTGATAGGATACTATCCATATACATATATGGAAGCCCTTCTAATAACAATCATTATTCAAATATATGCACCAACTGCAAAAGTCAAAGATGATAAAATTGAGAATTTCTACCAACTTTTGCAATCTGAAGTAGACTGGACATGCAGTCAAGATGTATTAGTGACTGAAATGCAAAAGTTGGAAACAAAAAAGGCTGGAAAATATTATGGTGACAAAAATGAAGCTGGGGATTGAATGATTGAATTCTGTACAAGCAGTGATTGATTCATTGAAGATACTTTAAAAACCCCATAGATAATGACTGTAGATATGGATTTCATCTGATGGACTACACAGGAATCAGATTGACTACATCTGTGTAAAGAGTTGTTTGAGAAGATCAATATAGGCAGTCAAAACCAGGCTGGAAAAACAACTATGAGATATCATCTCACCCCAGTCAGAATAGCAAAATTTAACGGAACAGCAGGCAACACATGCTGGTTAGGTTGTGGAGAAATTGGAACCCTTATTTACTGCTGGTGGAAATGTAAAATGGTGCAACCATTGTGGAAGGCGGTGTGGCGCTTTCTCAAAAAGTTGCAAATAGAGATACCATTTGACCCAGCAATTGCTTTACTGGGAATATACCCCAAAGAGACCATAACTGCCATTCAAGCAAATATATGCACACCCATGTTTATCACAGCTTTGTTCACAAAAGCAAGGAGTTGGAAACAACCTAAGTGCCCATCACCAAACGAATGGATAGAGAAGCTGTGGTATATTCATTCACACAATGGAATACTGCGCTGCATTGAAAAACAAGGAACTCACGCAATATTATTAAAAATGGGTGATCCTGGAGGACATTATGCTGAGGGAAGTATCTCAGTCACAAAAGGACAAATACTTCATGGTGCCACTGTTGTAAAACAGGACTGACCTCGGAGTTGTGGGGAGACTGAGAAAGATGGGTTAAATAATGTATACTGCATTGAAACAGATGAGGGAGAAAACTGTTTAAAAGGTATATGTAATTAGGTATTATTGTCAGGACAGGTGTCCAGAACGAAGGCTGCATAATAGAATGGACCTGGGGGGAGGGACTGTAAAACAATGAAAGAATTTTTCTTTTACTTTTCCAAGAGTAGGTAGTATACTGGAGGGGAGGGTTGGGAGGGGAGAAAAGTGCAACAGTGAATGAATGGAAACCCAAAGTCTCTGTAAATTTTTATTGAAATTAATAATAAATTCAAAACAAAACAAAAACCAGGCTTGAGGCTGACAGTCGAACAGACCATCAACTACTCATAAGAAAAGTTAAGTTGAAGGAAATTTAAAAGCCCAACAAGAACCAAAAAAGGACCTTGAATGTATCCCAACTGAATTTAAAAATCATCTAAGAACATAATTGACACATTGAACACTAATGACTAAAGACCAGGTGATTTGTAGAATAACAAAAGAGGTCATCGATGAAGAATGCTAAAGGTAATTACAAGGCACCAAAGAATGACCAAAATAGATGTCAAAAGAGACTCTGAAGCTTGCATTGGAATGAAAAAAAGCCAGAACAAGGGGAAAGAATGTTAAGGTGAGAGGGCTGAACAAAACATTCCAAAAAGCAACTTGAGAAGACAAAGCAAAATTTTATAATGAAATGGGCAAGGAGATGGAATTAGAAAACCAAAAGAGAAGTCCATGCTTGGCTTTTCTCAAGCTGACAGAACTGAAGAAAAATAATATAAGCCTCAAATTGGAATACTGAAGGATCCTATGAGCAAAATCTTGATTGATGCAGGAAACATCAAAAGACGATAGAAGGAATACAGAATACTAAAAAGAAATTGTCAACACTTAATCTCATGATCAAGAACTAATGGAGGAAGTTCAAGCTGCACTGAAGACATAGGCAGTGAAGACATAACAAACAAGTAAGGTCCCAGAAATTGATAGAACACACCAATTGACATGTTTCAGCGAGCAAATGCAGCCCTGTGTATGCTCTCTAGCTTATTCCAAGATATTTTATTTTATTTATTAATTTATTATTATTTTTGTGTGAGTCTACCATCAAATCAGATCTGACTGGTACAGGAGGAGATTGTCCCTCCTTCCCCAGCAGGGCATCTGGTGGATTCGAACCGTGAGCCTCTGGGATTGTAGTTGCAGCTCCTTGCCACTAGGCCACCAGAGCTCCCCGCCAAGATATTTTAAAGACAGCTACCTGCCCACCAATTGGAAGAGATAAATATTTATTTGTATTTTTTTAAAAAAGCAACCCAACAGAATATAGAAATTATGGAAGAAAGTAATTACTATCACATGAAAATAAAATTCTGCTGAAGATTATTTAAAAATGTTGGAACAGTACATCAGCAGGGAACTGCTAAAAGTTCAGGTTGGATTCCCAAGAGGCTGTGGCACAAGGGATATCACTGCTGATGTCAGATGGCTCTTAGCTGAAAGTAGAGAATACCAGAAATATGTTTACTTGTGTTTTATTGATTATGCAAATGCATTTGTGTGGATGATAACAAATTGCAACTAACATTGAATGAGAATCCCAGAACACTTAATTCTCATATGACATCACTACATAAACCAAGAAGCAGTTATCTGGACAGAAAAAGGGAGCACTGCATGGTTTAAAATCGGAAAAAGTATCCATCAGGATTGTGTCCTTTCTCCATACTGATTGAATCTACATACGAAACAAATAATTTGAGAAGTTTGACTCTATGAAGAACAATGTGCAATCAAGATTGGAGGAAAACTCATCAACAATGTGCATTATGCAGAGTATTATGGTCTTCAATATGGACTACAGCTCAACATTGAGAAAACAAAAATCACCACCACTAGACCACAAGGCAGTATCTTGAGAGATGGAGAAAATATTAAAGTTGTCAGTGATTTAATTTTACTTGCACCCACAATCTACACCCATGATAGCAGCAGTCAAGAAATAAAATATGTAAGTCTGTCAAGTTTCCCTTTAAGGTGCTAAAACAAGGATGTCAGTTTTAAAATGTAGGTGTGTCTGATTCAAGCCATGGCATTTTCCACTTTTTAAGAACATACCATAAAGTCCACTATAGTGACCCAGTGGGTAACAGATAATGAACCTTGCCCTGTCCTGTGCCATCTTCATGATCTCCAGTATGTTCCAGGCTGTAGCTATATAGCTACAGTTATTGTTGAGACCCTCTTGTTAAGGGTCTTTATTTTATATATATATATATATATAAAATTTTTTTCCCTTCTCATCCCATTTATTAAAGAAAGAGAAAAGATACAATGCAAGAAAAACAACCATCCTTCACATCAGGCTGAACAAAAGCACAGTGATTTCTCCCCTTTACCCAGCCCCCACCCAGTTCCAAGAGTCCCATCTACATACATCAGTTGAAATTTTGAGGTTCTTTGATTGGGAGTACCAGTGGAGAAGGAGCTGGATGAACAGTGGGGCCTCAGTTCTGGCCTCCCAAGTCCCAAGAGGAAGGAGCCTCAGGCTCAGTCAGAAGTATTTGGTGGCTTTCTGAAGTGGCTGTCCACCTCCCTATTCAAGCCCCCAGGGATAGGTATGGCAGTAGAGAATGACCAGGTCCAAGCTGCCCAGGTCACAGAGCTACCGAAGCATGGTCCAATCACCAATGCAACGTTTCTACAAAGCAGTGAGCTGATTCTCCAGTGATGAGCAGGGGAATACATATGAATTTGGATCTGCAGGTCAATGTATCCCTGAGGAAAAGTCCACGAGAACAAGTCAAGAACTAAGAAACGGGCAGAAAGCTGTGGGACAAAAGCACAGCACAGCAGGCTTCTGCAAGGCTGGAGATCCTCAAAGCCAGGATCACTTCCACCCACCAAAGTCCATGTCCCACAAATAACATTTCACCGTTAGTCAAGAAAATAGTTTGAAAAATATGGCTTATCTGAATTTGAGCCCCAGCTATGTACTTCAGATCACAGCCCCTTACCTACCCTTTTACCTAAGGATAACTGTTGCCCAGAACCACAGTGCCTGTACACCAAAGAGGTACTGGAAAGAAAATGGAGCTTAAGGGGGTAACATTCCATTTGGGTACATTGCAGCCACGGGACCCCCAGGGTCTTGGGAAACCAGCTGGGTTTGTGCCAGGGAGGCTCCAAACTCTAGGAAATGGGACTATAGCCTTGGTTACTGGGCGATTCATTCTTGGAAAAGAAGCTGGGTTTAGACCCAGAGACCTAGCTGCCCTTGCAAAAAGGAGCTGGATTAATACCCACAGGTCCTGCTGGGGAAGCACCCAGGGACCCAGCAGCTGACCAAGGGAAACCAACTTGGCCAGGACCTAGTGGGCCCATAGACCTTGGAAAGGTAGCTGGATTTGGACCTTGTAGACCAGTGGCCCTTGGGAAGTTAGCTGGGTTGGGGCCTAATGGTCCAGAGGCTCTTGGGAAAATTGCTGAACTTGAGCCCTGGAGGCCAGCAGATCTTTGAAAAGTAGCAGGATTTGAAGCCAATGAGCCAGAAGGCTGAGAGAAGGCAGCTGGGTTTAGTTCCCCTGAGCCTGTCCCCCATGGGAAGGGATTGGCATTTATTCCCATAGGGCCAGTTGGCCTTGAGAAATTAGCTGAATTAGGGCCTATGGGACAGAACCCGAGACATGGCAGATGGATTTGGCCCTGGGAAGCCAATTCCCCGAGAGCCAGGACCCGAGTTTGGGCCTATCGGATCAGGTACTCTTGTCACAGAAGATGGGTTTGTGCCCATGTTTCCAGAAGCCTGTGAGAGAGCAGCTGAATTTGCTCCTAAAAGACTTGTTGCTCTTAGAATGGGGGCAAGATCTAGGCCTTGAGGTCCAGCCATTCTTAGATTAAGACCAGATCCTGTACCCAAGAGACCACCACCTGCTCTGGTGTCCAGGTTAGGGCCTGGGCCTAGGCCACCTATCCTTGGATTCTGGGCCTAGGCCACCCACCCTTGGGTTAGGTCCAAGGCCTGGACCCAGACCACCCACTCTTGGGTTGGGTCCAAGGCCTGGGCCTTGAAGCATGCCTGACCTGGGGGCAGGATTTGTAAAAGTCTGATCTCAAATTGGGAGTTGGTCCTGGGCCCAGGCCAACTGGCCTAGGATTGGGAGGACCATTCCCAGCGGCCAAAAGAACACCTGCTCTTAAATAGGGCCCAGATCCTGGGCCTATGGGGCCACCACTTCTGGGGTCAGGACCTGCTCCCAGAAGACCACCTGTCCTTGGGTTAAGGACCTGCATTAGGGAGACCTCCTAGCTTTGGGTTGGACAGAGGACCCGTGCTTGGGAGACCTCCTAGTCTTGGGTTAGACAGAGGTCCAGGGCCTGGAAGAGCCCCTGCTCTAGCACTTAGTGCTGAGCCAGAGCCCGGGCCTGGGCCTAAAAGGCCGCCTGGCCTTGGGAAGGAAATGGCGCCTGTGCCAGTGGGATTCATCCCTCTTGGAAAAGCCATACCTGGGTCACGAGCACCAACAGGGAAAGGCGCTGGGTTTGAAGCCAATGAGCCTGATGGTGTTGGGGAAGGAGATGGCTTCCTTGGAAATGGGGCCAGATTTCCACCAAGAGAACCAGCTGCCATAAGAAAGGGATCAGAGTTCACACACAGTGGGTTGCCTGTGTTCAGAATGGGACC